TGGTGGCGGAAGAGGCGGCGGCGGAGGTGGCGGCCGCCGAGAATGACCAATTAGCGTGCCCGGGAGCGCGACGTCGGGTATTACATTAATCAGGGTGAAAAAACGAAATTTTCCCTCAACGTATTTTCGCGTTAAGGGGTAACCGCGACTTTCATTTAAGTTACCTAGTGGTAGCTAAACTACCCGGTAACTCGCACCCCGCGACTTCACCTGCCCTCTCGCCTCTTTTGTCCCTTTCCCCTCTTCTCTCGCACTCCCCTTCAGCTCCCTTATCGTCACCGATACCAGCCTCTCACCCTCTTGCGGGCACAAGTCCCGCCATTCGCCGTTAACGGGTAAAATGAGTGCGAGAGCAGGATGACGGAAAAAGAGAGAGAGAGAGAGAGAGAGAGAGAGAGAGAGAGAGAGAGCGCTAGAGGGGGGTGGGCAGAAGAAGATGAGAAGGGGAGGGGATCGCCAACCTTCCGTGGCCTCTGCGTCGGTCACTTTGTTCCCCTCCGGAGTCTCTCCGGCCGCCAGCGGCTCTCCCGCGGTCCCCATTCGGCACGCCCGTCGGTCTTTCGCGGTCTTCCTTTTTTCTCCGATGTCTCCGTGGGGCGAAAAGGAAAGGCACGGTTATTTTAATGAGAATCCGGCTCGTTTATGCCGCCATCTCGTGTCTTCATCGTCGCAGCCGCCGCCGCTGCTGCTGCCGCCGTCACCGCCGCCGACACCGATGATGATGACGACGACGACGACGACGTTGCCGCCACCACTGCCGCCGCCCATCTAATGAACGGCCCGTGCAAATATTATTTCTGTTTATGTACTCGCCAACTTAGTGCGACTTTGGCTCTAATTAATAATACTAAACAGTCAGCTGGAACGACCATGGGCGACCGGAAGACTCTAGGAGTCGGGCTTTAGCGACTCTCGGCGACGCTCTGCGGCGAGTATACCTATTAAGTAGTTGCGTTGCGCGCGCGCGCGCGCGCGCGTATGTGTGTATATGCATGTTTTGTAGGCGGATGCAAGCGAAACGCTCCTCACGGCATGCAATTTGCGAGATTTCGCATCTTCTACGGACCACGAGCTGATGTGATAACGCGATGATAAGTTCCGGTGGCACGCGTCGGTCGACGATTTCAAGACCGTGCTAATTACGAATTATCAAGGGGGAATCCCCCCGGTAAAACTTTGACGTCGATTCGGACGGTTCGTATCGTTCATAGCGAGATACGAAGTCATTCCTATACATCCGGAAAGATGTTTCGCATGCGCTCGAACCGATCCTTGTCGATGTATCGCGTTGCCGAGACTTCCCTTTGTCCTTCCTTCCCGCAACATTGTGCGCGCGAATCGCGCCCTCCAAGATCTTGTCACGTTAAGCCGATAACTCGTCGCTTCTTACTCGCGACAACGCCCAGTGCTTTCACATCAAATCAATTTTAATTGAACGGATGAAGTTTACAAAATAAAGTCATACCCGTTGCGATACGTGCGTAATATGTTAATTACACGACAATTATTACTTTGTTCCGTGTGTGCGTATGATACTCCGGGCAAATAAGCGTTCTACATCGGGCTATTATCGTAATTATAATGCGCAGCTAATAAAGCGAATCGTGCAATCGTGTTTGGAGTCGCGCGCGTAATATGTTAATGATGGAGCCGATCCGTCAAAGAGAGCGCGTATCAACGAAGGAATTATTCGATAATGGCGTAGGGCCCGGTGGCGGCGGGGAGGAACGGGGGAGGAGCGGGGGCGGTGGCGGCGGGAGTGGGGAGAAGGGAGCGCGCGGAGCTAGAGATCCGCGGACAGAAAGAGACATTGCGTTATTAAGCGGCTAATCGACGGCCGGCAGACACCTCCTCCGTTTAAACTCGCCTCTGCTGTGCGTATGTTTTCACACAAAAAGCCGAGCCGTTCGATCGTCATTGTACGCGCGAAAAATATGTGAAAATTATTGCAACTGTGTAAATATGTGTGGGAGATGCGCGTGAAGAGATATGTGTCTTTCTTATTATCACAGGCCGCTGCCCGGGAAACGAGACTATCAAAGTTGACGAGGACAGATGTCCTCATGAGCCTTTTGTCAGAGGCATTGCGTGCTCTTGCCATTGACGAGTGCGTGATTGCATCTTATCGCGGCCGAAAAGCACGAATTTCGTAACCCGATTTCGCCGTTTCGTTTTTCCCTACCTGTCTTGCCTCTCTTTCTCCGACGGCATCCGCTGGATTGCCTCCTTATCGTTGTTTGTAGATCCAGCCGGTTGCCCGGTCGCTCCATTGATCTACGTCCCCACCGGCTCGAAAACTGGTCTTATTCGGGTCTCCTTGCTGGTTCTTTACTTTGTCGGAGCAATAAGGTTAGGCAGGGCGGGTGTGGGCATCGGGTGATATTAGATAGACGACGGTTCGCCCCGAAATCGAGGCCCGCCCATCATCCCCCACCTGTTCCTAAACAAATTTAATAAAGCCACGATTTCCGTGCCAATTTCAAACTGAACGATAAATTATCCGCCGTCTCGGAGAGCCGTCAAGTGCGCTTCAGCTCTTAATTTGATATACGCGAGACTAACGATCGGCCAGCTGGGATCGCCAAGTGTCGCGCGACCTAGTATCTATAAATTAATCGCCGATTAGTTCGGCAACGATCGAAGCGCAGACAAACTCGCTAATTTCATAAACCCCCTCGCACACTTCGATTCGAACGTAGGTCGTTTGGCCCTCGAGACACGCTTCGGATACGCTGATACCAACGATCGCGCTGATATTTCAGAGATGAGTTTCCTCGATGAATGCCGAATCAGCTTTTGCGAAGAATGATGAGATGCTGCGCCATTCAGTAAGATAGAAGCGCGAGCAAACAACCCGGCAAGTTTGTCTTTCGATAACACGAAGGTGCGATTTTATCTCGGCAAGAATTTAATTTACAGCCCTGTCGATAAAGATATGCACCGCGATAAAGGACGGTGATATTTACCCGAACGTTGCCGCCGCGTGAATTTTTTCACTTTGCACCGCAGTTCGGTGAATCGCTAGCGCGCGTTCCGTGAGCCGTTCGGCATATAAGAAATCCCGTATTCCCGCCGTCCCTTCTAATCTAATAGAATGGATTCGCTCCAACTGTATCTCCCTATTTTCCGAGTTTCTCCGACTTTTCCACTCACGTTCCGCAACTCTCCGCACTCGACAAACTCCCTCGCTCGCGCGAGAGAACTCTCTCTCTCTCTCTCTCCTCTCTCTCTCTCTCCCTCCCTCTCTTTCATCCTCTCTCCCTGCCGTCTCTGCGTCGTCGTTCCTCTGTCGCGCGCGCGCGCGCGCGCGATTTTACTCGCGCGCCTTCTTCCGTACAACTATATCACTGTCGGTAGCGTTCTGCCTCGAGTATTATTAGTCTTTGGAGTTAGGGAGTACGCATGGACTCGAATCTCCAAGCTCGCTCGCATGGTTAACTTCCGCAAACAGAAATTACCATTTTATTGGGTGAGTTCTGGCACCCTCTTACCGCGCCAGCCCCTCGACTGCCCTCCGTCCCCTCCGCGCTTCAGCGCGGCCCCTCTGCCGCGCCGAACTCCCTTTTCTCTCCTTCACCCCCGCCGCCCCCGTATCCGCTGTCGCTGCCGCCGCCGCCGCCGCCGCCGCCGCCGCCGCCGCCGCACTTCACAGCAGCCCCTAACGCGACGATTGGAATACCTAATCGTCCGGGGACCATTCAGCACCATTGTTCCATCGACTTGCCGTTGTTGGTGCCTGTTAACGCCGAATCCTTTCACGCCCCGGCGCTGCCCCGCCGCTTTTTCGCCACCCTTGAAAAAGATGATCGGCTTGCACCGGTACGCTGTCACGTTTGCTCGCGCAAACGGAATTTCCGAGCGGCATTTGCATCGAATCCGCCGGTCGCTGCGTTAAATTCCCCAGCCGGGGGAATGTATGGACAGACCGAAGTAAAAGGCCCATCTGATTGGCCGCGCTTGTACGATGGGCCCGATCGATGGGCACGGAAATATCGAGCGCGGTGGAAACGCGGCGACACTGAGACGCGATTCCGCATTTCCGATCGCACATTAACGTCCCTTTCCTTGGCGATGCGATTGTCGTACGTGCGACCGGATCGATTGGCGTTTGTTTCGTCAGATAAAGCGCGCGCGACATCATTTCTCTTTGTGAATGTTTAATTTTAACTATTCTTTTCGGTGGGTCTTTTCGGGGCTGAAAATATCGGCGGAAACCGTTGTATTCTCACCTTTCCTCTTGTTTCTTTTCCTTCGTCAATTCTTGGCCGTTCTAGCGTTAACGGATTTTTCGTGTTCCGATAAATCTTCGGTTTTAATTAAACCCGAGGCGAGAAAGGCGAGCGAGACGGGGCTTTCTACTCTCGCGGCTGCAACTCTCTACCGACTTCTCCATCTTCTCGCGAAAATGAATTAAGACTTAATTAAAGTCGTTCTTTGATATGTTAATTCCATCGCAAATATGTGTTACTTTCTTCGGAGGAATTAAAATTTCCACGGTGTGTATTTCACGCCGTTAAACAGCCATTACTACCGGCGCACGGAAAATGCAATCTGTCTTAATGGGAATCAGCCGCAAAGTATGAGACCAAATTACCCGGTCGATAGAAGTAGTTATAATTAGCTCACGGTGAAATAAAAGCGGCGCTGATGACTTTTCGAAAAGTGCTCCCTCGACGGGAACGCAATTAAGCGAAGTGTTAGCGAAAGTAACGTCTTCTCTTGAATTTTGCGATTTTTTTGCGGGAGATACATTTTTCTTCAATTCTGCGATATACGCGATTGAAAGGAGCAGCGTCGATCTCTTGAACGATTATTACGCAACTCTTTCTCGAGAGCGACATTTTAACTCTAGGACTCTAGGATTCCACAAATCCCATCTCGCTCTTGCGTTCCGGTGAAGAAACGTGTCTCGGATTCAAGGAGGGGAGGGAAAAACATCTACGACAAGACAAGAGGGGTAGTAAAATGCCCCCTTCCACTTTTAGTATTATCATCGTTTGTATTTTTATTTCAATAAAGGAGGCCCTGTTCAAACAATACGGTACGATTAAATATGTACATCAAATTTTTATTCTGTCATGAGCGGGTATATATACAAATAGACGTCCGGGAAGTGGCTGACTACGTTTCTTCGTTCTCTCTACGAGTCCTCGCGTTTGCGGATCGCGGAGGCTGCTCCGGCTCCGGCGTCGCTCGCGAACGAACCGAGCGTGTAGGTACTCGTGCGATACGCAAAATCGTCTCAGGCGCTGTCTGCCTACCAAAATCGACACTACGAAAGACACACGCGCAGAAAAGGGGCAAATGTTAAAAAGAAAAATTATTTATTTATATATTCTCAAGAAATTCGAGAAATTTCGAGAAATCCCTTATTCGCTTCGAGAAAAAAGCATATGCATCTCGAAAAAAAAATACATATGGAGGAAGCGACGCTGCCGACAGAGAAATGCTCCAAAGAATGGACAAGTGTAATAGTTGTGCGTCCCAAAGGATTGCGGCGTCCAACAGCTCGCGATTTTGCGTATCGTCGAGCCGCGAGTCACGTCAACGCATGCGATGAATCCTCCTCCGCGCTCTCCGGAATTTACATACCGCGACGGCGATCTAAATAATATGCACAATCCTTTGCCTTAACGTTAATTAATACTGCAGAATATTGTTTCGTGTCAAAATCCATTCTTCCTCGTCCCTCGCTCTTCCGTGCGCCTTCGCTCTATATTCTACAAGAGATATTTCGCTAGTTCTCTCGCCGACGCGACGCGATAGTCACCGATCGGCGGGCGTTTTCCTCCGGCTTGGCGGCGTTGTCTTTCCTTAGGCCTTTCCGAGGGTGTTTAACCGAGGGTGCAGGCGCCTTTCTCGGTCGAAGCGCGTATTCTGCTACGTTGAACGTGGAACGCAACTTACCTCGAATCGCGAGGAGAGATGTTCGGCCGACGAGAGCGCGAGTCGGAAGCACACACTCCGCGACGGAGCTGCCGCCGAGTCGACTCGACTCGAACTCGGGATGTTGTTTAAGGATTTCTTTTTCTTTTTCTCTCAAGGTACATCATTGTCCTCAGAACAACAGCGCGTCTCTCTTTTGGCTTATCGTTCCGCCTGGGTGTCGCCTTATTGTCGCCTGGTCGTCGCTCGAGACCCTCGCCTCGACTTTACGCGGCTGGCAGGCGTGTTTGTCTATAAATCGACCGGCTGATGCTGCTTGTTGCGAATTGCTTGTATCGAAGCGATACGCTTCCCTCTCACTTTCGTCCGCCCTTCAACGGCGATAAACGGAACGACGCGGAAGCGTGGAGCGTGCGCGAGTCCGTGCGAGGGAGGAAGAGTCGTTCGAGGCTCCGTTCGTGTTTACCGCGGCGGTTCTGCGAGACCGTCTTCCCTCTTCTTCTTGCTCTCTCTACACGCGGAACGTCCAAACTATCACTTTATGCGCGATCTAAGCAGACGCGAGCGATGAAGAGTGACACAGCGCGCCGGAGCGTTTCGTTGGGTCTCCTTGCATAATTTGCGCGTGGCAAGTGATAATTTAAATATTCCATACGTAGATCAACACTAACTTATCGATCCGCTTAACATTCGTTCGCATATTTAATGGGCGTGTGATGATACGATTACTTTATGAAAGGTTTCGCGTCGGCTAGTTCTATTATCACTGAATTATCGTAACAGCATCGGGTGTGCGTACACACACGCCGTACACCGTGCGCGCCGCATTTGTATTCCATAGTTTCACAATCACATATATTAATGAATTCGTTAACGGAGAACGGTCGGGGGTTGGAAGGGGGGTGGAGGAGAGGGGGATCTAGAAACAAGCTTAAATTGACTGTCATTGTGTTCGCGGCGATTGATGTACATCAGCGCGATATTCGCTTTATAAAATTAGGCAATGTTTACCTCTGCTCTGCGACAACGAAATCACACGTGCGTTATAATTCCCAATCTCGGATCCAATATTCAGGCGCTTCGAAAATATTCACTCGCGGCCGGGACCGCTGGGGACGAGTGGGAGGGGATGAACGTCTTGTCACTCCGCCTTCAAGGACGCTTCGCTCCTTCTCTCGCTCCTTTCTTGTTTCTTCCTTTCCTCCGGAACAGCAGCAGCGAGACTCGGCGCACGAGTGTTCGCGGGCAAGCGGTAAGTTGCGGAAAAACGATAAAAATTAATCGAGTCTACATCCTCGCGCGTTACGCCCGCACCTCCCGACTACACGACGGAGTTTCGCGCGACGTAAGAACAATTCCACTCGCCTATTGCACAATGCCGACTTCGAGCGCAACTTTTCGACGCGCACCGCCGCCCTCGTGCGCGACTCGCTCGGGGGAGGAGGAGGAGGAGGAGGAGGGGGTGGGGGGGTGGGGGATATGCCTTTTCCTTTTTCGCCGACGAACGTGAACGTGCGAGCTTGAATCTACCAGCCCGCTGTCAGCCAGCGATCAAACCGTCGTTAATCATACATGAAAAGCGTGCCGCCGCGCAACAGCGCAAACATCCGGAAGGGAAACGAGTCTCAAGACTCGCGCACGTCTCCGAAGACGTAGCTTCTTCCCCTTTCTTTCTCTTTCCGCTAATTGGGCTACCCTTGTTACTCGTTCAACAACTCTCCCACGACCCACGGACTCTCCCACGAGTGTGCACCTCAACGAGTTGGCCTATTCCCAAGCACGAGCACATGCTCTCATCGGTCATAGGTACCTCATAGGCATCGATCGTCAACCAGCCGCGACTCTATAATCGTCCAAGATACACCCACCGATCGTCGACTGTCGCGACACACGAGATCTCGCTATAGTCCGACGCGTCATCACCAGCGGACGCGAATCATCCCTTTGGTAACTATCGGCGCCGAGCGCACTCGCTCGCAATGATCGGTATCATTCGCCACGCTCGACCCCGTGAACGATTCCTGCGACGCGAACGTCGCCGGTGGGTCGGTCTCTCTCGGCCGCACCGCGGAACGAACTCCGTCTGCTTCCCGCTTTCTTCCTCCTCCTCTCCGACTCCTCTCTCGCTGTCGCGTCGGTGTCGACACGCCGCTGCTCCGCCTCGGTTGACTCTTCGGGCTCTAGAAGTGTCCGGGCGAAGAGCTGCTCTCGCTCCCCCTCGTCACGCCGTCACGAGCGCGAGGCCGCTGCGGCCGACAGCGGTGCGCGCCCTTGACGAATCCTCGGTTAACCTTCAGACCATCTGGAGGCCTTTGGTGATGCTCTCGACGTGCTCCTTGGCCCGCATCCTGAGTGCCTGGATGCTCGTCGTGCGAGGATCGTGCCCCGGCGGACTCGGCGGCGGTGGTTGCACGTGGCCGCTGGCGCTTATGCTCGCCATGCTGCTGGCTAGGGACCCTGTGAACAGCGCGATTTCTACGTGTCGTTGCAGGCATGTACGACGACAACGACGGCGACGACGACGACGACGACGACGACGACGACGTCTGTGACAATGACAAGCGTGATCGTATGCTAATTGCCTCGCATCGCTGAGTGCTGTACACACCCGTGGATCGAAGAATACTATTAGCTCGAACGAAGGAGGAAGAAGCAATCGAGATTCCGTTCGCGTTTACCGATTTGCGCAACCGTCCTTTCTTTCTTTCTCTCTTTCTTTCTATTTTTTCCTCTACTTGTAGAATGTCTAAATTATCACTTCTCACGCGATTTAGGTGGATGAGTTGTTTCGTCATTCTCTGAGCGTACGTTCATGCGCCGAGTGATAATTTAAATATCCCATGTGCTATCTCTCTCTCTCTCTCTCTCTCTCTCTCTCTCTCTCTCTCTCTCTCTCTCTCTCTCTCTCTCTCTCTCTCTCTAACGTACATAATAAATATCTTAGGTGTTAAATATCTTAGCTGTGTTGCGACGTGAAATTTTCACGACGGAAAGTAACTCTTATCGTACAGTATCGCCTCCTGCGATCCCGTGCTTTCACTCGAATTTAATGTCTACGTTTAAGCGTGTCGGGCCTCCTTTCGAATCGAACGCGGATCGGACCGGAGAGAAGCGAGGAAGGCAGCCGGTCGTTCTCGCTCGAGCTTAACTTTGACATCAAGCGTATCGAAAGCTCCCTTTTAAATCGGACATATTAGACCGGAGAAAAGCGAGAGGTGCGCCCGGAGACGATCGTTACCTGGAACGGGATTAGCCACGGCGCCGACGTTCGGCGGCGACGGTAATCGCCTGGGAGACGTTAGATAACTGGGGTATCCCGTGTGAGGTGCTGCGAGGAAGCCGGGTAGCGCGCTCAGCAATCCTGGCGGTGCGAGCCACGGATCTCCCGGTAGACCCAGCGCCGGGCCGGCGACGTTTCTGAAAGTCGAAATATCTCCGCGATATAGCCGTCTGTTATTACGCGCGCGCGCGCGCGCGAGGATTCGCGTTTACGCGAATTCTCGGCGATCGTCGAGATCGAGTTTGCGTCAAGCACGAACCTCATGTTGGCGGCGTGATGATACTCGCTCAAGCCCAGTCTCGCGGCCTCCATCTTCTCCTGCCTGCGCCACTTGGCTCGTCTATTTTGAAACCAGACCTGCAACATAAGAACAATTGACGCGTAAGAACAATTTAATTTAATCGATCGAAACGATGCAGAAAAGAACGTAAATGTGACGATGATGGAGACGCCGACGGAGAACCGTAGACTTGTTAAAAAAGCGTCAACTCGTTTCATGGGCTTGTAATAAATTCCATTGCCTTTTGCCGATAAGAGTAATAATATTACCTGTGTTGTTTGTTAGCTTAATTTCGCAGATTTATTAAAAGCTCTCTATACGGCGTTTGACTTGACGTAGATCGGAGACAATGGCGGCACAAACTCTCATTAGCCGACGAGACGCGATAATGGTAACGTGTCACTACCGTGTACTTGAGGAAAGGGCGCCCTCCTTTCTTCTCATTCTTCCCGCCTTGCCCAGCTCTCCGATCTCCGCAACAGCCCCGAGATTCACCGCTTTGACTCGGACCAAGTGTTCGTCTTTGTTACGCTATTATTGCAAGGCAATTATTCTTGTGCGTTATATTGTATAATCAATCTCCTGAGATTAAGCAATATCGAGCGCCTTTTGATTAGAAAAATATACATGTAAATTACTCGAATGATTATCTAACTGATTACGATCGATTCGCACAATTTTTCTGCGAGATACAATTCTGAGAAGCGAGACAGCAGGTTATCTAGCTTTGAAAGAAATGATATTAGTTGAGAGAGAGGAAGAGAGAGAGAGAGAGAGAGAGAGAGAGAGAGAGAGAGAGAGAGAGAGAGAGAGAGAGAGAGTGAGGGAGAGAACAATTAAGAACATTTCGAGTCATAAAATTCGACCACTCACTTTTCACTTTTAGTCAGTGCGAAACGTCGGACAATTGTCGCGTGTGTACGCTCGTAATCAGCCATCACAGAAATTTCAAGCCGGTTTCGAGATCGGAAACAGAACTACGATTGGCCCGACAGATTTCTCTCCCGGCAAATATAGCCGTGTCGCCGCACTCCCGAAGTTGACATTGGTATTTCCGGCCGAGTTAGACGAGTTTCACCCTAAGAAGGGTGGCTGTGCGATTTTGACCCTCCCCTCTTCCCTCATCTTTCTCTTTCTCCTCTCCCCGCGCGAAAGAGCGGTCAACTGCGAAAATCCAACCGCGAGAAATCAGCCGGGGTGCGCAGGACGCGGGCAGAAGTAAGTCAGAAAAAGTGAATGTGAGAAAAAGGACGAGCAAAAAGAGAGAGAGAGAGAGAGAGAGAGAGAGAGAGAGAGAGAGGGAGAGATCGAGAGGGTTTAGTAGAAAATGGAGTCCCTTTGGCGGAGTGCGATCATGCGGAGGGCGAGAAAAGTGGCTGCCAAGACTTTCCTTCTCTCTCTCTGTCTCTCTCTCTCTCTCTCTCTCTCTCTCTCTCTCTTGCTCGCTCGCTCGCTCTCTTCTTCCCTGTCTTTCTCGATTTCTACTCCAAAAGGAGGGTTGCAGAAATGTCGCTCTGGGCGGGTCTGGCTAGGTCCACCCCTGATAGCGGCGTTGGCTAAGAAAAGGGTGCAAGAAGAGGGTCGGCGAAAGATCGGAGGGTGAGAGACGGGGTCCACCCTTCCATTGGCATCAAGAGGGTAACGAGCCCGTGGGGCGAAATCGAAAGTGAGCGAGCGAGTGAGCGGAGCTACGTGACGCGGTGCTCCTCGAAGGTGGACCCAAGGAGAGTAGAGAAACGTCGGAGGGGACGCGCTGCCTTGCCAGGACGTCTCAGCCATGTTGATTTCTTTATTGTAACATGGCTGCTGTTGGCAGCTCGCTTAAGTCTATTGCGTTAAGAGCCGATGCTATCGGCTTCGGCTTATGAATTATTCAGTCCTCCAGACACGCCGGATATAAGGCCGACCGCGCGCGCCCGTGACGAATTTACTCGCGGGCCGGCGGCGCGGGCGGGAGGTGAGAGAGAGAGAGAGAGAGAGAGAGAGAGAGAGAGAGAGAGAGAGAGAGAGAGAGAGAGAGCCGCGAGATCGAAGTCCATCCATTGACGGCCGATGAATCTTGCTTCTCGCTGCGACGGCCCGAACTCTCAAAGGGCCTCATTTCGGACAAATAACGCTGAGCAATCGGTTTTTATCTCGCCGCCCGCGCCGCGCCGGTAGCCGACAGCCGGAAGACAGCGGCCGCGGCCGCGAGATAATTGTTCTCGCGCGAGTTGCGTGTAATTGCGACTACTCCGGGTGTAATGTACGCTCGCGAATCAACCGTGACCATCAATGGTGTGATTCATTCACGGCCAGTGAAGAATGTAGAAGAGTTTGGAACACATTGACTCTCTCTCTCTCTCTCTCTCTCTCTCTCTCTCTCTCTCTCTCTCTCAGCGGGTAAGCAACAAGCCTGATTCGCAGGTCGTAAAGTCCTCTTGTTAGCAAGCGCAAAGATTTCTTCGCGCCTCTGAAATAATCGGCGACGAGAAGGAGCATCGCGTTCGGATAACAAGAAGACTGGCAAATTGAATGTTACCGTCGGGAATGAACGGCGGTGAGTCGTCGGAAAGGGAGAGAAAGAGAGCGCAGGAGGATGGGGAGGAGAGAACGGCGGAGGAGAACACGGAAACGAAGTGGAACGAAGACGGGGTTAAACGTCGGAGGCATCGCGGAGGTTTCTGGTTCGGGGGTGGTTGGGGAACGGTGAACGGGGGACGGGGAGGGCACGCGCGGAGGGGTGGATATCGGGGCATTCCCGGGCTCATCAGGACGATATTCCGCTCTCGAGGACGAGAAGCAATTTTCTTTCCTGGCTCCGTGGATGAGAAAAGGCTACGGACAAGATGCCACGCCGAAATGATGGGAAAATAAGCGAATTTCCCTTCGTATCTCTTATATATCCTTTTCCATCTCGTCTTCCCCGTCCTGCTTCCCTTTCTCTCCCGTCCTACCCTTCCTCCTTGCGCTTCTGCTCCTCTTCCTTCTCCCTTTCTGTCTCTTATTCTCTCTCGATATCGCGTCTTAGCGCTCCGTAGCGCTCTGTCTCCATCTCCGTTGGGAACCGACTCGCGTTTAACGGCGAGAAAGAGAGAGAAAGAGAGAGAGAGAGAGAGAGAGAGAGAGCGAGTTCGTTCTCGTTCTCGCTCCTCTCGCGGAAATATAAAGAACAGGGCTAACGCGGCTTAATCTTTTTAGGTTGTAAATTTATTAGAGCAGGTACTTCCACCTTTTCCGCTCGCCTCCGTCTTCTTCTCATCCACTCTCTCTTTCTTTGTCTCCCTCCCTTCCTCTCTCCCTCTCCTTTTCTCTCTTTCTCTCTCTCTCTCTCTCTATCTATCTCTCTTGCTCTCTATCTCTCTTGCTCTCTATCTCTCTTGCTCTCTACCCATGACCTCCTCCTGTCGTCCGACCCGACCAGCCGGCGACTCGCGACGATCCTCGGCAATGATATTGCGAAGGTAAACTCGCTTAGACGGTTTAAATGCAAGAAAATTGAAATAAAATGGAAGTAATTCCGAGATTAAAATTGGACGACGTTCCGTTGTCGCTGAGAAGCGGCGACACTTTTTCGTGCCCCCTTCTCCTCCCACCCGCAGCACGTTCTTCGGCGTTCCTCCACCATCCTCTTGGTGGTGTTCGCCTGTGAGATTCTACGTGAGTGCGGCGTTCTCGCTCTGGGAAACTTGGCGATGCTGGAGTTGCATAATTTGTATTCCGCTGGAAGGTTGGCGCGCGGATGAGCGGGCTAATTATCGTTATCGCGTTACCGCGCAAATAACGTAAAGGAATAACAGTCCCGACTCTTTCACGTGGAATCATCGCATCCGACGTAATCGGCTAAAAGAGTGTCGCTGATAAGCGTCGTTCGATGTGTGTGTGCAAGGGAGAGAACAGTTGATCTCTTTTGAACGTCATAACATGTTGCGACAATATGAGTAATTTTTACGGATCGATACGAAAGAAATAAGGAGAAATCACTGGCCGTTGATTGGATTCTGCTCAACTTGCTCAGCTTGGAAACGAATTTTGACTCGTGAACGTCGCGATTTTCGCGTCGTCGCGATTTCGCGTCCTTTGCGTTTCTTTTCGCGCGATCTACGATCGCGTATTTCGCATGTGATATATTTAACGTGTTCACACATGCAAACACGAGTGTATGAAGCTCGACGTGTTCCCGGTGACTGCGTAACAACAGCTTTCGCCCTCTCCAACAACATACGGCGACGAGCACTCGACGAGCAAGAAGCGTATCGCGCCGAAAATCACTCTCCAACTCTATCTATCGCGCACAAGCTTTTTTTCCTTTTACAATGTGCACCTATAGGGCTCTCATTCCCCCCTCTCCCTGCTCCTCTGCCACTCTCTCACCCTTCTCCCTCTCTCTCTCCCTCTCTCACCCTTCTCCCTCTCTCTCTCCCTCTCTCTCTCTCTCTCTCTCTCCCTCTCTCTCTCTCTCTCTCTCTCTCTCTCTCTCTCTCTCTCGCTGATGGAACACATCGTTCCGGGACGATGATCGCTTTATACTCGGCGGCGGCTCTCGTCGAATTCGGATTAGCGCCGGCAAAAAGGTATTCGAGGTGCTCACGCCACGTCGGGTTCATTGTTGCTGGCCGGAGTATTAACAGATTTCGGCTATTGTTCGTCGTGATGGTGGCCCGGCGGGGCTCTTAAAAGTGTCGCGCGGATGCTCGCGAAGGCGCGGCGCTCGCGTCGCGGTAGACGTCACTCTTCAGTAGCGCGATGAGACTCCCCCCTCGGATAAACTTTTCCCGGCGGTATTTCCTCGAAAAATCAGCAATTCCTCTTTACGAGCGAGCCAGGGTAACCGGCGACTTGCGACGGATGGAACATAATATCCAAGTAACGAGAGAGATCCTCAACGACCGTATTTACGTCGGAGCCGCGCGGCGAGAGAAGCACGGCGGCGGCGTGGAAATCGAGGGTGCGGAGACGTGCGGAGTGCGCGCGGATCGGCCGATAATAAATAGAAATCTAATAAAGGCATTAACAGGCAGAGGAGGAGAGCTTCATAGTGCGGATGAGCAACGGCGCCTTTTCGATCTTCCTCAAGTACAGGGGTGGTTCAACGTGC